CATCAACACCCCATTGTCACCAATTGACCAATCCTCCAGACAGAATATTAACACGGAAACAGTGGCCTTAAATGGCATTTTAGACCAGTAGGATTTAATCAATATTTTTAGAGCATTTCACCCCAAAGCAATAGAATATACATTCTTCTCAAGTGCACATGGAACATTTTCCAAGATAGACCACATGTTAGGCCACAAAACAAGTGTCAATAAATTTAAGAAGACTGAAATCATATCAAGCATCTTCTCTGACCACAATGCTATGAAACTAGAAATCAATTATAAGAAGAAACCCGGAAAGCACACAAATACATGGAGGCTGAATAACATGCTACTAAATAGCGAGTGGGTCAAAACTGAGATCAAGGAGGAAATCAAAAGCTATCTGAAGACAAATGACAATGAAAACACAATAACCCAAAATCTATGGGATGCAGTGAAAGTAGTCCTAAGAGGGAAATTCATAGCAATGTAGGCCTATCTAAAAAACAAAAACAATTTCAAATCAACAGGCTATATTTACACCTAAGGGAACTGGAAAAAGAACAGCAAAACAAGCTGAAAGGGAGTACAAGGAAGGAAATAATAAAGACCAGAGCAGAAATAAATGAAATAGAGAGCAAAAAAATTACAAAAGATCAATGAAACCAAGAGCTGGTTTTTTGAAAAGATTAACAAGATCAACAAACCCTTATCCAGACTCACCAAGAAAAAGAGAGAGAGGACCCAAATTAATAAAATCAGAAATGAAAGAGGAGAAGTGACAATAGCTACCACAGAAATACAGAAAATTTTAAGAAAATACTATAAGCAACTATATGACAACAAACTATACAATCTGGAAGAAATGGATATATTTCTAGAAGCATACAATCTTCCAAGTCTGAACCAAGAAGAAACAGAAATTCTGAACAGACTGATTACTACCAAAGAAATTGAGTCAGTAATCAACAAGCTTCAAACAAACAAAAGTCCTGGACAAGATGGCTTCACAGGCGAATTTTACAAAACATTCAAAAAAGAATTAATACCTATTCTCCTCAAGCTATTCCAAAAAAACACAGAAGGAGGGAAGGCTCCCAAGTACATTCTATGAGTCCACTAGTACTCTGATCCCAAAATCAGACAAAGATATTACAAAAAAAAGAAAACTACAGGCCGATATCCCTAATGAATATAGACGCAAAAATCATCAACACAATACTAGCAAACCGGATTCAGCAACACATTAAAAAGATCATACGTCATGCTCAAGTGGGATTCATTCCTGATATGCAAGGCTGGTTCAATATTCGCAAATCAATTAACGTAATACATCACATTAACAAAATGAAAAATCGAAATCATATGATCATATCAATAGATGCACAAAAAGCATTTGACAAAATCCAGCAGCCATTTATGATAAAAACTCTTATCAAAGTGGGAATAGAGGGATCATATCTCAACATAATAAAGGCCATATATGGTAAGCCCACAGCTAACACCGTACTCAATGGGGAAAGACTAAAATCTTTCCCCTTAAGATCAGGAGCAAGACAAAGCTGGCCACTTTCACCACTTTTATTCAACATAGTACTGGAAGTTCTAACTACAGCAATCAGACAAGAAAATGAAATAAAAGGCATCAAAATTGGAAAGGAGGAGGTGAAATTATAATTATATGCAGATGACATGATAGTATATAGAGAGAATCCCAAAGACTCCACCAAAAAACTGTTAGAACTAATAAATGAATTTAGTAAAGTAGCAGGATACAAAATTAATATGCAGAAATCAGTTGCATTTGTATACACCAATAATAAACTATCAGAATAAGAAATCCAGAAATCAGTCCCATTTACAATTGCTTCGAAAACAATAAAACACCCAGGAATAAATTTAACCATAAAAGTAAAAGACCTGTACTCAGAAAATTATAAGACACTGAAGAGAGAAGTCAAAGAGGATACAAATAAATGGAAACACATACCATGGTCATGGATAGGAAAAATTGATACATTTAAAATGTCAATACTACCTAAGGCAATATATAGATTCAATGCTATTCCTATCAAACTACCAAGGACATTTTTTCTATGAAATAGAACATATAATCCTAAAATTCATATGGAACCATAAAAGACCCCAAATAGCCATGGCAATCTTGAGAAATAAGAACAAAGTAGGCGGTATCACGCTACCCGACGTCAAATCATACTACAAGGCTACAGTAATCAAAACAGTATGGTACTGGCATAAAAACAGACACATAGATCAATGGAACAGATAGAGAGCCCAGAAATAAATCCATCCATATATGTATGGTCATTGAATCTCTGACAATGGAAGCAAGTATTTACATTGGAGTAAAGATAGTCTATTTAATATATGGTGCTGAGAAAATTGGACTGACACATGCAAAAAAAATGAAAATGGACCAGCTACTTACGCCATATACGAGAACAAATTCAAAATGAATTAAAGCCTTAAATGTAAGACCTGAAATCATAAAACTCCTAGAACAAAACATAGGGAGTAAATTTGTAGACATTACTCTGAGTAATATTTTTACTGATATATCCCCTCAGGCAAAGGAAATAAAAGAAAAATAAACATATGGTATTGCAACAAGCTTAAAAGTTTTTTCACAGCAAAGGAAGTCATCAATAAAACAAAAATACAGCCTACTGAATGGGACAAGTTATTTGCCAACGATATATCTGATAAGGGGTTAATATCCAAAATTTATAAAACACTCATTGAACTCAACACCAAAAAAACAAACAGCCCAATTAGAAAATGGGCAGAAGATATGAAGAGACATTTTTCTAAAGAGGACATACAGATGGCCAACAGGCATATGAAAAAATGATCAACCTCACTAATCATCAGAGAAATGCAAATAAAAACCACAATGAGATACCACCTCACTCCAGCCAGAATGGCTATCATCAAGAAATCAACAAACAACAAGCGCTAGCGAGGCTGTGGAGAAAAGTGAACCCTGGTGCACTGTTGGTGGGACTGCAGATTGGTGCAGCCATTATGGAAATCAGTATGAAGGTATCTCAAAAAACTGAAAATGGAACTACTGTATGACCCAGCAATTCCACTCTTATGTGTCTATCCAGAGAAACCCAAGCTGCTAATTTGAAAAAATATATGCAGCCCAATTTTTATTGTAGCTCTATTTACAATAGCCAAGACTTGGAAACAACTGAAATGCCCATCGGTAGATGACTTCATTAAGAAGCTGTGGTGCATTTATACAATGGAGTATTACTCAGATATAAAGAAGAATGAAATCTTACCATTTGCAACTATGTGGATGGACGTGAAGGATATTATGTTCAGTGAAATAAGTCAATCAGAGAAATACAAATACCATATGATCTCAAAAAAATACCATATGATCTCACTTATATGTGGAATCTAATGAACTGAATAAATGAGCAAAGTAAGCAGAAATAGCCTCAGAGGTATAGAGGAAAAACTGATGATTGCTAGATGGGAGGGTGGTGGTGATGAGTGATAAGAGGAAGGATTAGATAGCATAAATTGGTAACTACAATATTGCCACAGGGATATGAAAGACTGTTCAGGGAATATAACTAATAATGTTGTAAATATTTTGTCAGGTGCCAGATGGTTATGTGTCTGTTAGGGATGCCACTTCACTGACAATTTAGAGGCTTGACCACTGCATTGTATACCTAAAGCTGACGTTGAATAATATTGCATGTCAACTATATTTATTTATATATATATATATATATATATATATATATATATATATATATATAGTCACAGGATGTGGAATATAGTGTGGGGAGTGGAGTCATTGGAATTGTAATAGATATGTACGATGTCGGGGGGAAGGAGTGGGGCGGTGGATTGGGAGAGGGGGATTGTCACTTTGTGAGGGTAAAAAGTATAAATATTGCACTGTTTAGAACACCTGAAACTAAAAAAAAATAAAAAAATAAACAGATATGCAACTAAAAGGGGCACTTCTTACAATTAAAAAAAAATAAAAATAGAATTACCATATTACCCAGCAAACCCTCTCTTGAATATCTACCAAAAAAATCTGAAAATGTTTATCTGTAAAGATATATGTGTTCCTATGTTCATTGCAGCTTTATTTCCTGTTGCCAAGACATGGAAACAATGAAAGTGTCCTTCCATAGATGATTGGATAAAGGTGTGTTATACGTACACAATAGAATTCTACTCTGCCCTAAGAAAAAATGAAATATTGTGATTTAGGACAACATGGATGGATCTTGAGATTATAATGCTAAGTGAAATAAGTCAGACAGAAAAAGTCAAGAACCGTATCTTTTCACTGATATGTGGTATATAAAACTGCAAACAACAAAGGAACAAGACAAATGAAGAAACACAAACTCATAGACATAGAGAATAGTTTAGTGGATACCAGGGGATAGGGTGGAGGAGAGTGTTAGATGAGGGTAAATAGGATCAGATATATGGTGATGGAAGGAGAACTGAATGGGTGGTGAACACACAATGTGATATACAGATTATGTATTACAGAATTGTACACGTGAAATCTATGTAATTTTGCAAACAATTGTCACCTGAAACTTTAAAGAAAAAGTCAGTAATGTCCATTTCATGATGTGTGTCATTTAGGGCTGATAGTCCTTTATTTATTTTCAGTTTGGATGATCTATCCATAGTTGTCAATGATTTTTTAGGTCCCCTACTATAACTGTGTTTTGGTCAATTTCTCCCTTTAGTTGTGTTAGTAGTTGCTTTATATGTTTCGGTACTCCCTGATTGGGGACATAAATATTGATGGCTATTGTGTCTTTTTGTTGTATAGTCCCCTTTATCATTATGAATTGGCCATCCTTGTCTCTTGTTACCTTTTTTTTAAGGTAAACTTGTGTTTTATTGTGTCAAAAGAGGGGAACAGACATCACCTTATTAGAACATTGCCTCCTTTCCTGTTGCAGTCCCAGCCCTATCAGGAGGCCAGAGAAGCCATCTCATTCATGTGGTAGGCACTTGTGAATGGGGAAAGGGGAAAGGGGTCCAATCTTGTGGCCGTAGCCTCGAATGGTCTCTCTGATGTGGCAGACCTGGATAGTATTGCTGTGAGCCTCAAAACCACAGGCTGCAGTGCTCTTTTTTTTTACTTTGCTTGGTTTTAGCTGAGCCTTGTCCAGCACTCTCATTCCCAAGGGATCCTGATGTGGTTTTCCCTGAGTGCTGGGATCCAGACGACGGGCCTGTGGGTGTAGGAGATGTATTCTCGGGCGGGTTTGGGTAGGACTTCATGTAAGACCCCTCAGCAGAGTTGTGATACTGAATGAAGGTGGCCGAAATGGCATGGCTGAAGGTGTCTACTGCCTTGGTTACCATGTCCTGCGTCACGAGAAGGGCCAGATCCACTAACTGCGCCACAGTTTCAAATGCTATATATGCTAAAATTTTCATAGCGACAACATTGGGTTTTATCTTTATGCAGCTGCAGTGCAACCAGTCTCGAAATTTGGAGGCTTTTTTGGAGAAACTTAATTGTCGACTTTCACAGAATTCTGCATATTGAGCGGAATCCATAATTGGAGTTTGTCTTTCTGCCCTCTCCATTCTTTCTGGTTTAACTTCATCAATTTCATCATCAAGCATTACTAAGAGTTCTCCTGTTTGTTCAATAGAGTTGAAAAAGTCTTGAGCGATTTTTTTTGTCTTTTGTTTGAATTATTACTGCCACTCAACTTGTCTTCCAGAAGATCATCGTCCTCTATGCCTTTGACAATCTTTGATTTGTAGTCTCAGAAAAACATGTATTTTAGCAGTCTTCTAAGTTTTTTCTTATCTTTTCACATCAACAACAGACGATCTTTGTCAGATATTTCCCTTGCTCTCCAAAATTGTGAAATTTCAGCTGCTTGCGGTAACAGATTAATTAACAGTGTGTGCCACATCTTCTACTTAAACTGCTGTTTCATGAAGAGTCCTAAAGTCCTAAAGAGACTTACCATCACCTAAAGAAAACATCATACACTGTAATTCTGCTGCAAAGCTTACAGACTTCACTGCACTCCTTCCACTACGTGAACTGGCAGTAGACATTGGGCTGGCTGTAGTAGTATTCATCTCTGCTTTAAGAACACTTGTAGACATGACTGCACGTCTCGTGTGGAGAATATGGGGGTAGAGATGGTGCAGTTTCTGCTGCTGCAGCCCGGGACATGCTTGGATAAGTGTGGGGTGGGGGGGTTCTCTTGTTACCTTTTTTATCTTGAATTGTGTTTCATCTGATATCAGTGTAGCTACACCTGCTTTTCTCTGAATACAATTTGCTTGGAGTGTCAATTTTCACCCTTTCCCTTTGGGTCTATATTTGCCCTTATAGCTGATATATGTCTCTTGGAGGCAGCATATGGTTGGGTTTAATTTTTTTATCCAATCTCCTGCTCTGTGTCTTTTTATTGGTGAGTTCAATCCATTTGCATTTAGGGTGATTATTGATATATGAGGATTCCCTATCGTTCTATGTTTGGTTTTCTGGTAGAACGGTGTCTCCATTGTTTCTTTGCATTTTTGTTGCTGTCTAAGGGTTGCTGTCTATTATTTCAGTGTGGTGGTATTCTATGATTTTTCCCTCTGTTTCTTCTTTTTTTATGTTATATATTTCAGTTCTGGATTTTTTTTTTGAGAAGTTCAATTAAGTTTATGTAAAGGAAAGTTTCATATTTAGAGTATTCCATTTTCTTCAGCATGCTTTCTTTCTCCATTGCCTTTTGCTGGTTCAGACCTTTACTCTCTTCCCTTTTATGCTTTAGTTATCACAAATTATCCCTATTTATGCTGTGAGTTTATTTTTGCGCAGCAGTAACAAGTTGTGGTTTTTCCTCTTTTGTTTTTTAAGTTTTTTTTTCTTCTTCACCCTGTATGTTATATTTAAGTGTTTAATGTTTTATTTGGTGTAGGGGTTGCCATTTCCTGCTTCTGTCTGTCTGTTAGTAATACTTCTCATGGTTTTGTATTATTTTGCTTTTTTGTTTCAGGTCGAATAGCCTCCTTCAGTATTTCTTGTAGTGCAGGTTGTGTGTTAGAAAATTCCCTCAGCTTCTGTATGTCTGGAAAGATCTTTATTCCTCCTTCATATCTAAAGGATATCTTTGCTGGATATATTATTCTTGGCTCATATTTTCTCTCTTTCAGTTGTTTGAATATTTGTGTCCACCCTCTCCTGACTTGTAGAGTTTCTGCTGAAAAAGCTGATGATAATCTATTGGGCTTTCCTTTGTAGATTGCTGTCTTCTTTTTCCTGGCTGCCTTGAGGATTCTTTCTTTGTCATTAATTTTTGACAGCTTCAATACACTGTGCCTTGGGGAAGGCCTGTTGGAATTGAGGTAATTATGTGTTCTATTTGTTTCTTGCATTTAAGGATCCAGCTCTTTCCAAGTTTAGGAAGTTCTCATCTACTATTTGTTTGAATATACTTTCTGTTCTCTTCTCCCTTTATTCTTCATCTAGTATGCCCATTATTCTTACATTGCTCTTTCTGATGGAGTCAGAAAGTTCTTGTAAAGCTCTTTCATTTCTTTTAACTCTGAAGTCTCTCTCTTCTTTGATCTGTGTCATTTCCAGATTTCTATCTTCAGTGTCCCTGATTCTTTCCTCCATCTGGACAGCTCTATTACCTAAGTTGGCTATTTCATTCTTCATTTCTTTTACTGAGTTCTTAATCTCCATTAAACATATTTGGTTCTTTTTTAAATTTTCAATCACTTTGGTAAAATGTTCATTTTGTTCTTTGATTGTGTTTCTGAGTTCATTATAGTGCCTGTCTGTGTTTTCTTGTATGTCATTGAGTTTTTTCAGAACTGCAGTCTTGAATTCTCTGTCGTTTAAGTCACATATTTCCATGTCTTTAAGTTCATTTTCTGGAGACTTCATTTTCTTTCTGAGCTGCTTTCTTACCTTGGTTATTCATGGCAGCTAATGAATTATTGTTTCTCTTCCTAGGCATCTACAAGTGTGGGTCTGCAACAGGTTGATAGGAGGAGGTCTTTCTTTTGCTTTCCAGTAGGTGTTGGTGGAATGTTTTATTTCCTCTCCCACTGCAGCTGTTTATTCTCTGTCACGGTGTAGCATTATATTTTCTCTGCACTGTTCAGGCTTCTCACACAATGTGGGGAGGGGTTCGCTGAAAAGTGGGCTTCTGCTCTGTGAGCAGATAACCTGGGTCTCAGGGCACCACCTCCATCGGGGAATGTGGAGAGCTTCTGAAATTCCAAAACTTTTCCTGCCCCAGATTCAGAGCCTGTGTGTTTCAGTGGCTCTGTTTACCCCTGCAGGGATCCGCCCAGATAGGTTGGGGCGGGGCGGTGTGGGTTGTGAGACGTGGCTCTGAGCAATGGCAGCGACCACCTGTCAATCCTGCACCCAAGGCTCCCTGCCCTTCGCAGAAACTAGTTGGGCCCAGAGTTCATAACTGCGGGGCGTAGTTCTCAGAACTGCAAATATGCTGTTCTTTTACATAACACTGCTACCATTCCGCTTTGAGCACTGGGAAGGTGGGAGTGGGGTGAGCTCAGGGAGAGTGTTGAGGGGTTGGCTAGGCGTCATGCCTATATCTTCTGTCCTCTGCTTGGCAGTGAGGGCTTAAACTGTCTTTCTCACCTTTGTTCCCTCACTCTTTGCTCCCAAGTCTCTGCCGTGAGCGTAGGGTTCAGCTGTGTTATATGCTGACCCCTCAGGCAGGACTGAGGAGCGCTAGCAGTCCGAACTTTTTCCTCTTCCTTGATGGCTGTAGCTCTGGAATGCAGGGATCTAAGAGCTCCAGTCTGTGCCCTGCCGCCAGCTTCCAGCCCACATCTCTGCACTTCCCCCTTCCCTCCTCCACTGCTCACCCAATTTGCCCACCTTTAGATGAATCCAATTATGCGTCTCTTAGTCTTGCCTGTCTGCTGAGCAGGGAGACCTTTGTGGAGTTATAGCTGTTCAATTTGTTGTAAATTTCAGGGGAGATTTCAAGAGGCTCACCTTACTCTGCCATTTCTATGACGTATTTATAGTAACTTTTAAATAGATTCTTTGAGATTTTTCTTTGTAGAGAACCATATCATCTATTAAATAGAAACAGTCTTATTTTTTATTTTTCAAATATATGTGCCTTTTATTTCTCTTGCTTACCTGATTTCACTGGCCAGTATCTCTAAGAGTGGTGGAGCAGACATCCTTGCATAATCCCCAATCTTAGGGGAAAGCATTGTCTTTTGCTATTAAGTATGATGTTAGCTGTACGTTTTTTGTAGATGCCCTTTATCAGGTTGAGGAAGCCCCTTTTCTAGTTTCTTGAGAGTTTCTGTCAAGGATGGATATAGAATATTGTCAAATGCTTTTCCTGTATCTTTTGCAATGATTGCATGCTTTTCTCTTCCAGTTTGTTTATATGATGAACTACATTGATTGAATTGTGAATGTTGAATTAGCCTTTAATTTTCAGAAGAAATCCCAATTGCTCATAAAGTATTATTCTTTTTATATATTGTTTGATTTAATTTACTAATATTTTGTTGAGAATTTTTATATCTACATTCATGAGGGATATTGGTATGTAGATTTCTTCTTGTAATATCTTTACCTGGCTTTAGTATCAATATGATGCTTACATCAAAGATTCATTTGGGAAGCACTCCCTCAGTTTCATTTCTCTAAAATGTTTGGTAGACTGTTTGATCGAAGTAACCAATGAAGCTTTCTGGCCTGGAAGTATTATTTGTGAGAAAGTTTTTAACTACAAATACAATTTCTTTAAAAGATATAGGACTATTCAGGTTATCTATCTCTTCTTTAGTGAGCTTTGATAATTGTGTCTTAAAAGAATTAATCTACTTCATCTAAATTGTTAAATTAACTGGTGTGAAGTTATTCATAATAGTCTCTTTTTATCTTTTTAATATTTGTAGGATTTATAATGCAGTCAGTGTTGTCTTTTGTCATTAATATTGGTAATTTGTACCTTCTCTTTTTTTTATCTTTGTTCATCTTGCTAGAAATTTATCAATCTTATTGATCTTATTAATGAACCAGGTTATGGTCACATCGATTTTTTTTCCTATTGATTTTTTGCCTTCAATTTCATTATTTTATGTTTGTTTGTTTTATTCCTTCTATTTGCTTTCGGTTTGTTTTGTTCTACTTTTTTAGTTTCTTAAGGTGTTAACTTGAGACTTTTCTCCTTTTCTAATATAGGTAGTTAGTGATATAAATTTCCCTTTATGTGCTTCTTCAGTCAAATTTTGATATGTTGTGTTTTCATTTTCATTTAGTACAAAATACTTTCTAATTTCCCTTTTCATTTTTTCTTCAACCCCTGGGCTATTTATAAATGACTAGCATATTAAAAGTGTTTGTCTTCTTGCGCTGGATTTGTGTGTAATGTTTCTTTATTCTATATAGTTTTATGTTCTTATTTTGTTCTTTTTGTGTGTTTGTATATGTTTTCCAATTTTCTACATTGAGTATGGATGACTTTCCTAACTAGAAAATAATCAATTAATATAAAATAACACTCTACATTTTGTAGCATTTTATAACTTACAGAGAGCTTCATTCAAAATCTGTGAGGGAAACATATAATCCATATTTCACACATGTTGAAAAATGAGATTGATAGAGTTTAAATGACTTGCTCAATGCCATACAGCTAGAGGGTGTGAGGACTGAAACCTAGATTTTCTGACTCCTAGTTCATCACTCAGAAGTTGGAAATAAAGATTTGAAAAGTAAATTGGTATTTATCTTGAGGGTAGTTAGAAAGAATAATTAGGGTCTTTGAAGCAGTAAGCAACTTAAGACAATTATCTCAGTATACTTTTAAAAAATTTTTTATTTTGTTTATTAGTTTCAGGTGTATGAAGTCTCAGTGGTTTTCATTTGAATCTCTGATTTAAAATGAGGTTGAACATCTTTCCCTGTTTATGACCCGTTCCCATTCCTTCTTCTCTAACTTGCTATTTGTGTACTTAAACCATTTTTCTATTGGATTTGTTAGTCCTTTACTTATTGATTTGAATGATTAAAAAAATATTCCAGATGCTAGTACTTTATTTGTTGGAAATATCTTCTCCCAATTTCTTGCTTATCTATCTTTTACTTATTCTTTCAATTTTTATCATCAGGGAAATGTGTACCGGAGAATGTTCTGATAGATCAGCCTTTCAGACATTAGCTTGCTTTTCCAAAGCAAGGAAGCACAACCTTTTCCAAACGAACACATGCCATGCTCCCTTATCTTACCATTTTAACAGAGCAGTAGTCAAGATTTTGGCTTTGCTGTCAGGCAAACCTGGGTTCGAGTTTCACATCAGTTACTTACTGGTTACATGATCCTTGAGTTTTGTCATCTATAACATGAGAGAATAGTAGTACCTACCTTGCTGGGTCATTGTAGGATCAAACAAGCAAAGTGTGTAAAACTCTGATCTAATAGTAGGGGTTCTGTAAATATCCCCTATGCCTGTTCCCTTGATATACACTAAAACAGATGGAACCTGTGATTGACTTTGGATTTTGTGACTTGGTCCATGTTTTCTAACAGCATATTCTCCATCTCCTTCTTCACAGATTCAGAGACATACTGCGTGTTTCAAGACAAAAAGTACAAAGTGGGTGAGAGATGGCATCCTTACCTAGAACCTTATGGGTTGGTTTACTGCGTGAACTGCATCTGCTCAGAGGTATAATCCCTCATGGCACATGATTTACCAGTTTGCTCCTCAACATATAGAGATGTTTTCAGTGCCCAGATAGCCAGTGAACATGGGTGTTAAAAAACTAAAAGAAGTTAAGAAGCAGATTGCAAGAAAAAATACACATCTCCTGCCTTCCTCTGTTGCCTTTTAGCTTGATTTTCATAGTATCTGTGATTTGGACAGATACTTATGGTCTCTTAGCCAAATGATATAGGACATGGTATGAGAGGGCAGAATACCTTGACAGTGGGAGTGGCGTGAAAGCTCAATATGATCCCTGAACTGTAAGACAAAATCAGTTTTGGAAACCATTTGTAGGGCTGGCCTTTAAATGAGAGATTAGGAGAGATTATACACTGGCTTATTAGGAGAGTGTATTTTATATTGTCTCAGACAATAACTGTAATTAGGATTGCAGTTGGAAACCTTGGCCTGTACCTGGTGATGATTTGAATTCCTTGACTTAGGCTTGGCCTCTGTAGAGTCACTCAGAGAGGTTTTTGGACAGCTTGAATGCCATCTTTGCAATAGAAAATGTGGGTAGTCCTATTTTCTTTCCATGGCCTTGACCCAGGGCTACAGCTATGGTCCATGTTTCTGAACAAACCTTCACCATTATATTCTAGACTAGGGTTTCTCAACCTCAGCACTATGGACATTTAGGGACAGAATACTTCATTGTCGTAGGGGCTGTCCTGTGCATTACAGGTTGTCTAGCAGTGTGCCTGGCCTCTATGTAGTAGATGCCATCATCACTAACCCTAATTGTGACAACCAAAAATGTCTACACATGGCCAAAGTTACTTGGGGAACAAAATGACCCCTGGTGGAGAACAACTGCACTAAAGCAATTGGGAGGGGAGGCCTAATATGATGCCTTGAGAATTAAGAATTAAGAATTCTGAACATATATGAATGCATTTTCAAGACCATCCTTCACTTGAGACCTCATGGAAGAACTGCAACTCCTTACTACTACCCAGGTAGAATAGGAACAATCACTTGCAAGCCTGATTCTTTTGTTATTTGAACAGAAAAATGGGCTTTCATGATTTTGAGCATGTGGAAACCTAACCTTTAGGCGTCATCAGGTGGTGTTAAGAGGCTGCAGGGCTTTAGAGTCAAGACAGGTCAAGAATCCAACCCCAGTTCTACCACCTATGAGCCATGTTATATTGGATAACTTATCTAAACTCTCTGAGATTCCTTCAGCTTCTTCTTGAAAATGAGATAATGAGAATAGCTTGTAAAGATGGAGGAGTACATAAATGTTGTGCTTACCTTGTATCATGACCACATCAAATTCCAACTAAACTGTTAAACAACTACTATTGAGAATTGCCTGAAATCATGCTGAACCAAAGCCCTACAACTAAGGACATACAGAAGAATCCACCTCAAGACTGGTAGGAGGGGCAGAGATGTGGAACGGGCTGGTCCCACACCCATATGTGATCATTAAAAATCAGGAGGGATATCTCGGCTGCAGAGATTCCCCCCCCAAAAGGAACAAAGGATCCCAGCGACACACCAGACTCCCCAGCCCAAGGTTCCAGTGCCAGGGATAGAAATCCACATAATTTCTGTTTGTGAAACTCAGAGGAGATTGTGGCTGAGTGAAATGGAGGATGGCTGGAGTCCCAGGCGCTCCTCTTAAAGGGACTGTGCACGGACTTAACGATTGAATCACGGGCTCTGAGCTCCAGCACTGGGGCAGCAGCTGGAGAGGTGACAGGGACATAAGGGTGGGGGGAACTGAGTTGTATGGCTTTAGGATGAGGGCTGGAGTGGCAGCTTTCTCCCAGACAGAGTAGCTGGCAGGAACCATTGTTTCTTTGTTGAGCCCTCCCCCTTCTGGGCATGCAGACATAGGCAGCCACCATATCTGAGTCTCCATCAAGCTGGTTGACACCAACTTTTGCCATGCCCTGTTAATTCAGAGACCCCACCCAACTCAACTGTTGGGTATACCCAAGCCACTTTCAGTGGCTTTTTAATACCTACCAAATACCTTGGCTAATGCTGCAGACTTTCCTAGAGTTTCTCAAAGGTCAAGGAACCCAGACAAGCGGCATCTGATATGAGTGTGTCCTATACATCTGGCTGAGCAGCCCTAAGCCCAGCATTATCAGCAGCCAGCCTTGGTTCATGGCTTGGCCTCTCAAGGAACCTCCAAGCATGGTGAGGGTGGCAGCCATCTGTGGATTACTTTGTGGCTTCTGTCAGGTGGCCCCAGGAGGGGTATGGGTTGCAGCTGAACTTGACCTGTGGTGAGTCCCCTTCCAGGTGGCCCTGGGGCTGGTGCACCTAGTAGCCACCTTCAAAACCAGCTGGAGCATTACCCAGCCACCTCCAAAGACAACAAACAAAAGGGGTGAATTGGACAGGTACCAGAACCCAGTTAGGCAGATGCTGTTCTGTAGGGTCAGCCCCTGCACCACAATTCCTCCACTGTCGTCAAGGCCAGTCCTCACAACCAATCAGCCTGAAGGGCAGTACCTCCCATTGGTGTGCAAACAGCATCCAAGGCTCAACTACAATGGGAGGGCACACACAACCCACACAAAGGACACACTTGAAGTGCGTAGCTCAGGTGACCAGAAAGACTGTGCTACTGAGTCCCACAGCACATCTACTACATTAGGCCACTCTACTAAGACCAAGATATATAGCAGCCCTACCTAATACACAGAAAGAAACACAGGGCGGAAGCCAAAGTGGGGAGACAAACAAACATGTCCCAAATAAAAGAATAGAACAGAGACCCATAAAAAGAACTAAATAAAATGGAGACAATAAATCTACCAGATGCAGAGTTCCAAATACTGGTTGTAAGTATGCTCAATGATCTCAGGGAGAACTTCAGCAAAGAGACAGGAAAAAAAATGGATAGAAAACATTAAAAAGAACCAGTCAGAAATAAGGAATACAATAATGGAAATGAAGACTATATTACAGGGAATCAACAGTAGATTAGATGAAACAGAGGACTGAATTAGCAATTTAGAAGACAAGGTAGCAGAAAACACCCAGTCTGAACAGCAATAAGAAAAAAATAAAAAAAAAGTGAGAGTTCAAGTCACCTCTGGGACAACAGCAAGCATAACAACATTCACGAGATAGGGGTACCAGAAGGAGAAGAAAGAGAGCAAGGAATTGAAAACCTATTTGAAGAAATAATGACTGAACACTTCCCTAACCTCATGAAGGAGATAGGTATACAAGCTCAGAAAGCACAGAGTCCCAAACAAGATGAACCCGAACAGGCCTACACCAAGACACATCATAATTAAAAGGCCAAAGGTTAAAGACTCAGAGGAATCTGAAAAGTAGCAAGAGAAAAGCAGCTAGTTACCTACAAGGAAGCTCCCATAACACTGTCTGCTGATTTCTCAACAGAAACTTTGCAGGCCAGAAGGGATTGGCAGGAAATATTTAAAGAGATGAAAAGCAAGGACCTACATCCAAGGTTACTCTACACAGCAAGGCTATCATTTGGAATCAAAGGACACATAAAGAGCTTCCCAGACAAGAAAAATCTAAATGAGCTCATCATCACCAAAACAATTTTACAAGGAATCTTAGAGGGACTTCTTTAAGACAGGGGGAAGGAAATAAAAAATATAAATAATAAAATGGCAGTAACTACATACCTATCAACAATTACTTTAAATGTAAATAGATTAAATGCTCCAATCAAAAGATAGGGGGGCTGAATGGATAAGAAAACAAGACGCTTACATATGTTGCCTACAAGAGATTCACTCCAGATCAAAAGACACACACGGACTGAAAGTAAAGGGATGGAGAAAGGTATTTCATGAAAATGGAAATAAACAAACAAAAAACTGGGGTAACAATACTTACAGCAGACAAAACAGACTTTAAAACAAAGACTATAACAAGGGACAAAGAAGGACTAGTAATCCCACTTCTGGGTATTTATATAAAGATACCCAAAACACTACTTCAAGTGCATGTGCTCATACATAGGAGGCCTGACAATGAAGTTCGTAAACTTGTTGCAACGATGTTGCTAACCTTTTTTTTTATGTCAGAGGGATTATTCATTATGAATTTGTACCAACTGGACAAACAATTAGCCAAGTTTACTATTTGAAAGTGCTGAAAAGGCTGTGTGGAAAAGTTATACGACCTAAACATTTCACCAGCTATTCATGACACTTGCATCACAACAATGCACCAGCTCACATGGCACTGTCTGTGAGGGAGTTTTTAGCCAGTAAACAAATAACTGTATTGGAAGACCCTCCCCATTCACCTGATCTGGCCCCAGTGACTTTTTTCTTTACCCAAAGATAAAGGAAATATTGAAAGGAAGACATTTTGATGACATTCAGGACATCAAGGGTAATAGAATGACAGCTCTGAGGGCCATTCCAGAAAAAGAGTTCCAAAATTGCTTTGAAGGGTGGAGTAGGCAGTGGCATTGGTGCATAGCTTCCCAAGCGGAGTACTTCAAAGGTGACCATAGTGATATTCAGCAATGAGGTATGCAGCACTTTATCTAGGATGAGTTCGCAAATGTAATTGTCTGACCTCGTATGTTTATTGCAACATTATTTACAATAGCCAAGATTTGAAGACAACCTGGGTGTCCCTGAATAGATGAATTGATAAAGAAGAGGTGGTACATGTATACAATGGAATGTTACATAGCCATAAAAAAGCATGAAATCTTGTCATCTGCAACAACATGGATGGATCTAGAGGGTATTGTGCTGAGTGTAGTAAGTCAGACAGTGAAAGACAAATGTCATATAATTTCAATTATAAGTGGAATCTAAAGAACAAAATAAACAAATTTAGCAGAAACAAACTTATAGATATAGGGAATATTTTGATGGTTGTCAGATTGGAGGGAGGTTGGGGGTGGGTGAAAAAGGAGAAGGGAATAAGAAGTACAAATTGTTTGTGACACAGTATTCATGGGGATATAGGGTATTCCATAAAGAATATAGTCAATATTCTAACAACTATGTCTGGTGTAGGTGGGTACTAGATTTATCGGGGTGATAGATGGGAGTGGGTCAGGGGATAGGGTGAAAAAGTTGAAGGGATTAGAAATACAAACAGGTAGTTATAAAATAGATACGGGGATGTAACATAAAGTATAGGGAATATAATCAGTGATGTGGTAATAACTCCGTGTAGTGCCAGGTGGGTACTAGTCAGGGAGACAACTTTGTAAATTATATAAATGTCTAACCATATGCTGTATACCTGAAATTAATACAAGATAATATTGAATGTCAACTGTAATTGAAAACTTTTTTAAAGACAAGGGTGAAGATAAAGGGGAATAAGAAGTTTAAAGTTCCAGGTAAAAAACAAATAAGTCTTGGTTGGGGATGTAATGTACAGCATAGGAAATATAATCAATAACATTGTGATAGCATGGTACAGTGTCAGATGGTTGCTGAACATATCATGGTGATTCCTTCTTTAGCATAGGGAATAGAATCAATAATATGGTAATAACACTGTATAGTGCCAGGTGGGTGCTGTTGAATAACTATGATGTACACCTGAAACTAATATAATATTGTATGTTAGCTATATGTTAATAAAGATCTTTAAAAAATGAAAAAATGGGATAATGATATTACCTGTTTCATAGGGTTTTGGTATAGATTAAACTCAGTAAGCCATTTCAGTCACTTGAAACAGTGCTTGGCCACAGTCAACATTCAATAAATTTGAATTGCTGTTCTCATCATCATCATCACTATTGTTATGATTATCATTATTTTTATTAATCAGTTAACTCTAGAACAGAACTCAGTATAAAGCATTAAGAAGGAATCAGGTTAGACCTCAGCCAGGAGTAGTTTCTGATGTTCATTGATCTCACTTCAAGATGATACCACCTGGCTCTGAGGAGTGTGACACATAAGGAGGCTCTGTGGTATTTCCAAATGCAATAGTCCAAAAATTTGTTCTGAAAAGTACAAGAGAAAAAGAAGGTTTGTGGTAAGGTGATTCAGATTTGGATAAACGAAGCCTGCCTCTTAAATGGCCAAAGGAGCTATTAAATAGAGCATCTGGGGACTGATTACTGCTTGGTATGGTATGATTGTGTCATATTCTTGACCCAACACATTAGAAATGGACAGCTAACTCTTGCAGTCTGAAACTTTGCTGTCTGTAGGGCAGTGAAAATGTTAATGTGATCCCAGTGCTGACAGCTTAAGTGCTCGGTATCTTCTCTTTCTCCATCTTCTTCACCGCCTTCTTCCACCACAACAGCCTGACAGATTCAAGTCACCCTCACTTTACATGAATTATAAATGAAAAATGTTAATGCAAAATCCATTCCCAAAGTATTCCTTTATTCTAACAATGGTTGAGAGCTGTCAGAATTAGGGATCTTGTAATTGTAAATCAGGCAGGGACTCTGTTGATCCACCCAGGCATACTAGCTAATAAGCTCAATTCCAAAGTCCAGCTTGTTCTCAAAAGATTTTTTTACTGAAAAGGAAAATGAAGAGAGGAGGCGCTCAGCCTAGTACAATCAAAGATCCATGGGCTAGGGATGTCTCCTTGCCCAGGGGTGGGTAGCAGCTCAGGGCATCCATTGCTCATTATCCTTTCTCTTCCATGGCACTGTGCAGGTGATTATGAAATCAGACTAGGCTTTTAGAAAAAACATGCAGTTAGAGCTGGGCAATGGTAGAAACACCACAGAGTTAAGCTAGAAGAAGACTCACGCAATTATTGCGAGGCTTTGAAAACTGGAGTAGTAGTGATTCCAGCCTTAGAAAAATATGCCAATAAGCTAGCAGCCAACCCAGCAGAGGTGCTGGTGATGAGAAAAGGAAAGAAAAATGCTGCTTTCATTCAGCTTCTCAGGAATGCGTTATTCACTGTCTGGGTGAGTCCCTGCATGACTGTTTCCCAAACTGGCATGATCCCAGTGACCTTTGAAAGACATTTAGTTTTTCTTTGTTGCCTCCTTTCTTTCAGAATGGGAACGTGCTTTGCAGCCGAGTCAGATGTCCAAGCCTTCATTGCCTCTCTCCTGTGCATATTCCTCATTTGTGCTGCCCTCGCTGCCCAGGTAAACTGGTTCACCTCTTTCTTTCCCAGCTGTAGTTCTCCCTCCTCCCTCTTCCACCCAAGCCATTCCATCTCCTTAATTCCCCAGAAGGGAAACTTCCAGACAGAAATAGCAATAGAACATTTAGGCAGCCCACACTGGCCCCTAAATACTGTTTATAGCCCAAGTGGGGCACATTCTAGGCTCTAATAAGTTATTGGGTACCCAATAACAGATTTTCATTGGTCTTTTAATCATTTGAAGATGGATATGAATTGGGGGAAGGGAATTTTGGCCCAGAGATTTTTCTGCTATAAACAGCCTCTTTCTGTCTTTGGCAGTGGGCACCAGGGGAGTTGTAGCATGACAGCACGTGTCCTGCACAATTAGTGCTGGAATTGCATCCAAGCAGAGCTTCTAAATGATGAGGGGCTGTTCATAAATCAAAGGAGCTGAACCAGTGAGGTGTATGACAATATAAAGCTGCCTGCCTGCCGAATAGTCACCTCCCCCAGACTGCAGTTATTCTATACACATTGTTAAGAGCAAATAAAAGGGCGAGGCAGGCAGAGACTTTTTCACAAGACTGTTAGGACGTCTACTTTCATGATTTGCGACTAAGGTGTTTGTCTGAGGCAGGGTCTCCCTCAATGATACTTTGTTCACATCTAACTGGGGCCTGGCTCCCACACAAGAGGGGTGCAAGTGTGGAATGATTCAGAGAATGCCTGTGGGCCCAACATCAATCCTAACAAAAGCTAAGTGACAGTCTTGGGGTCTGGTTAGTAGAAGACTTTCAGTCCTGTTTAAGTCTGGGATCTTGTTATTAGAAGCCTTTTAGTCCTGTGCTAGGGACATCTCCTTATCCAGAACATCCTTTCCCTCTATAATGGAGGTTCTAGAGTTGGGGTCCATGGGTGGGCTTTATGGGGTCCAGGAACCCTTTAAAATTGTTTTTGGTTTTTCGTGTAACTATATAGATAGATCGATTGATAGATAGATAGATAGATAGATAGATGTAAATTCCTTTAGAGAGGATCTGTAGCTTTACTGGTATTCCTAAAGGGGCTGTATATGACTTTAAATGTGAAGAACCACTAGTCTAGGGCATACATAGATGGCACTTTTTTAGTAGTAAAGAACCTCCAAAATTTATAAGAGAGAAACCCAAAATGGTAGGGCAGAGCTGGTAGGAATGGGGTAGGAGTGAGGTTCAGTGAAAACTCAGTTAGCTGAAATGTCACAGGAATGGAAATTATGTTTAATGGAAAATAAATTCCCAACACTTTTTGTCACCATCTATATAAAGTATATTTTCCTGCATCAGTAAATACACTCTGATGAACACAGGGGATTCTTTACCAGGTGGCAAAAGATCATGCCATATCACAGGTTTATCATTCTGAGTATTGGTGATGATAGTATATGCTTCAAGATATCAGAGAGAGAATCAGCATATGATCAACCTAAAGGTTGGTTTTTTTAATCAATCCCTAAATAAATGGGGCTTACTAGCTTCATATGTGTTTATTTGCTTCTTCTACTTTAACTAGATTACAGAGGTGTGGTATGGAAAGGGTTCTAGTAGAAGGGAGCAACATTTCTGGTAAAGAGGTCAATCTGGAGAGCTTTTTTTGTTTTTTAATCTGCCTGGTTGCTTGTCAAATAGCTGCCTTATAAAATCCCATCACCACCATCACCAGAAGACTCCAAAAGTCGTCCAATGTCATAGGAATGTATCCAAACCTTTATGTAGAGCTTGTCCTTGCCTGGAATGGAGGTTGAGGTATTATGCAGACACAGGGCATAGAGCGGAAGAGCACTGAATGGCGCGTGGCTGTCATTGACCCCAGCTACATAACAGGAAGCAAGTTTTGAGAAAAAGGGCTAGTATAAGCTAGCAGTTGTTTTGAAAGGAAAAGAAAGTGTTAAAAAAATGAGGTCATAAATCCCAGAAAAGGGAAAATGGAAAGAAATAACACATTGTCTTGAAGACTTAAAAAGCCCATTGTAGAAACCAACAGTTCATGTCCTTTTCTTTCTTGTTCTTGCAGGTCACTCCTTTGTGAGTTTATTTATTTTCTTGTTAACTATAACCTTTAATAGCTCTTTCTGTGGGCAGTGGTACTAAAGTTTCCTAATCCTTATAGATAAACAAGTTTTTACTTTGCCCTCATTCTTGAATGATAATTTGGCTGGGTATAAAATCATAGGTGAATGTTCATTTCCCCTCTGCACTTTGAAGATATTAATAAATGGTTTGTTGACTTCCTTTGTGGGTAAGAAGTCTGCTGCTTGATTGTAATTGTTTTGTAGGTAACCTGTTTTTTCCTATTTCTAGCTTTTGAGATTTTCTTTTTCTTTGATGCACGCAATGGGATATCTATATGTGATTTATTTTTATTTAGCCTGCTCAGCACACAAGTTTTTTCAGCCAAAGGACTCAAATTTCTCTTCAATTTTTAGTCATTACTTTTGTGAAAGTTACCTCTTTTCCTACTATCATTTTTTTCTCATTCTCAAAGTTATCTTTGCTGTACATTTTTGCTGCTCATCTAATTTATCCTCTGTGTCTCTTAATGTCTCCTTTATTATTTGCATCTTGGTATATTTCCTGTCATGACACATTACTTCAGTTCTGTCCTCCAATTCATGAATTATTTCTTTAGCTTTTTAATGCCTACTATTTAGGCCATCTGTCAGATTTTATTTGTTGTTTTATTTTCAATAACTGTATTTCCCCAAGTTTTTAAAATTATATTTTAAAATATCTACATGGTGCTGTTTTATAAACCCCTGTCATTGTTTCATGGGATCTCACTCTCTTCTTTATTTCTTTAGGTATTTAAATATTTAAAGTCCATTTCAGATTTTTCAAATATGTATGTTTTTTCAGGTGTGAATTTTTACTTGTGTTGGGTTTCTTGATAGCTTTTCTTAGTTCCAAATTTTTCCTTGTTTTCTAAAATTTTTGTGTAACAGCTCATCATCCATGGGGTTTTTCTATTGCCTTCTTTCCTGGTGGTATAGTTGTTTCAGGCCTTATAGTTCATTGAGTTCTAAACCAGGTCATATATTAGTGTCTCTGCTTGGACTTCATCATGACTAGATGGTCTAGCTCTACCTCTGTTTTCTTGTGTAGTACTAGTCCCTGATAATGATCTTGGAATGGGAACTCAGCAGCAGCTGCCTACCTTGGTCATTGAGTCCATTTGAGGGAAACACCTGGGGTGGGTAGAGCTACATCAGCCCCTGTTTACATGTTAGGAGTATGACCCTAGTCCTCAGCTTTACACAGGAAGCAAAATATAGCCCCAACTGTCTGTATCCAGTCCCAGCTGCCAGTGGACCATATAGTTTTGGCCCCCACTTATTGCTGTACTTTTCTTCTATGTTTTATTCCATAAGAGTCTTCTTTTGTGTATAGTTATGCAGTTTTAAAGTTTATGTATTTATTTTTATTTTTACATTTCATTTCTCACTTTTTGTTTGGAAAAGAGCACAGACTTTTCTCATGTGCTCTCTCTGCCATATTGAAATAGAATGCAAACCAGCTATTATTTCTTTCTAGTGAAGATAAAACAAGAGTAAATGGGTTTAAATCATAGTAGAGAAGAATGGAGTTTGATAAAAGGAAGAACTTTAGTACAGTGGTTGTTAAATCCTAAAATAAATGACTAAGGAGAATTTTAGTTTTCCTGCTGCACATTTCTGGAAATCAGCAGGTACCCCCCCCCCATCCGAGATAGAGTTGGCACAGTTCTGCTTTGAGACAGGGCAATGGATGTGATGACTCCTCTGTATTTCTTCCACCCCAGTGGTTATTTGGCATGAGGAAACTCATGCCTTCAGGGCCACAGGAATGTTTGGTCAAAGGAAGGGACGCTAGCTTCCTGTCTTAATTCAATGCAAGACACTATGATGAAAATGTTCTCACTTAAAATATAATATTTAAAGCTAAGATGATGAACAAGTTCTATGTCAAAAAGAAAAAACAAACAAGGAAACCATACACCCATTGCTTTGGTTTTAAATATTATCCTATAGCAGCCTTAACTTCAGGGAACATTCACCTGGGTAGTGATGGACTCTATTGGTAAGTCCTACGAGGCAACCTAAAGCTTATCTACCATTGGAGGGGACAGAGGAACCACCACCCCCTATTTGTTTCTGTGTTTTCCATGGCTCTTGCTTTCTAAAATCTCCACTCCTGCAGTTTCCAAGGTTCCCACCTGCATTTGAGGTTGTCTCCCATAGCTCCTGCTGAACTGTAGAAATCAGAGTATGCAGACTGCTTTTCTAGAATTACAGGAGAGAAATCTATACTGATTCCCTTGAAGAGGAAATAAACATTTTTTCATCAACACTTCCCCAAGTCTCCATGGCAGAGGTCAAGCCTTGGTCACATGCCACAGAGCTCTACTGCATGCAGAGGGGCTGGTACTGCATTGAGGATAGAAGATACTTAATGTAAAAAGTCAAGACTGCACAGAAGTCAGAAAGGTCATTAAATCAATCCCAGTCTGTAATCAGTACTCTCTGTAGCCCCCAATAACAAGAGATTTGTAGGAATGAAATTCCATATGTTCTCTTTTGGGGGTGTGGAGTGCTAAAAGCAGGAGGAGGAGAGGAAGAATATGACTTCTCTCCATTTTTTCTTTATACAGAGGGTGCCAAAAAATGTATACACATTTGAAGAAAGGGAAAAAAACTATTAAAATTATAATAATATATACTGATAGCAAAAGATGAATACAAGTCACATTTGACTTCTGCAATTACAAGAGGTGTTCAAAGTGGTCACCATCAATGTCCAGATACTTCTGATTATGGTGAACTACTACTTTGGCAACACTGACCAAAGTGTCCACTTGCATACATTTTTTGGCACCCCCAATATATAATTTTATCACCAAAAATACTTTATAATGAAGAGGATCCCAAATCATGATATTATCTAAGCATTTTTAATGGCCATTCCATTAAGAATTTTCTATTCAGAGTTAATAAATTTGAGTTCC